CTGTTTTTCCTCGCTTAAGAGGCAGCGAAAATGGTGGCGCTATGGAGGATTTTCGCTTAAAGGTGAGTTTTAAGCCCATAGGAACACTTTAATGTGTTTCTCTGGGCTTTTTAATTTTGCTTAGCGATGTTTTCGCTTAGTAACTTTTTTTCCGGAATGGATTAACGTCGCTAAGCGAGGCACCACTGTAATTGTGTGTGTTTTTAAAAAAATATATGTATAGTTTTAAATTGGCTTATCTGTTGTAAGCCACCTTAGGTCTCCAATGGGGAAAAGTGTGGCATATAAATAATTTAAATAAATAAATTTGGAGCTGAGGCAAGCCGAGGCTTGTAGGTCGTACAAACCTGTCTCCCGAGATCTTTTGGTAACAACTTTTCAGATTTCTCTGATGTAAGATCTTAACAATGCCTTTGTGTGTGTGTGTATTTTCAGGTCTCCCCAAGTCTGATCCAGGGCATTGGTGGGCCAGCTTCTTCTTTGGAAAAGCAACCCATCCAGTAATGACAACTGTTTCGGAATCCCCAGAGAAGTACGTATTATTGGGCCGAGGCTGAAGGGAACCATCCATGTCCTTATGTGTGTGTTTTAATGGTGTTTCTGTAAAGCTGTACGTGGCCGTGTAACTGGGAAAGAAAAATGTAGAAAGCAGTTCCACCTCTGGACGTCGTTGTCCGGAAGGGTGTTGGCCTCTCATGGGCAAACTCTTGCATTGGAATTACCAATGGGAGATCTTAACTAGAGTTTGGAGAAGTTACATTAATGGGCTGCCATTCCCAGATCTCCCCAAGCCGGTCCTAAAAGTCATTTTTCTGATCCCTAGTCTTGATTTCTGGAAATAAAAATGCAGTGGGTGGCTTAGGTGTGGGGTTCAAGGGTGTACCCTAAAAAGAGCTTGCCTGGGTCGACTTGTAGTCCACAAAAGCTTGCCCTGAAATAAAACTCTTTTAAGTCTTAAAAATGCCACGATTCTTCCACTTCTGTTTTTGTTGCATGTGCTGGAAGAGACGAACATTGCTGTCTCCTTAAAAATCTCTCCCTTTGTGTATCTGTGCAGTCATTAAGAAGGGTTGTGGGGCAGGACCCACCACTGAGCACAGCACACTCCATGTAGAGGTTTCTCAGTGGTTTTACCCTGGTAGTAAAATACGCTGTGTGGGGATTCTGGGAGTTGTAGTCCAAAGCCCCCACATCTCTGCATCTGTTTAGAAACATTTGGACTACAGCTCCCAGAATCCCTACACAGAATATTTTACTACCAGGGTACAACCACAGAGAAAGCTTTACACACAGTGTGGGGATTCTGGGAAATGTAGTCCAAAGCCCCCAAGTCTCTGCATCTCTGTTTTGAAGCATTTGGACTGTTTTTTAATACAGTGGTGCCTCGCATCACAATGTTAATTCGTTCCAGCGAAATAGCTTTAGAACGAAAACGTCATGATGCGATTTTAAAAAGCCCATAGAAACACATTAAAACCAGATTAATGCGTTCCTAGGGGCTTCAAACTCACCGTCCAGCGAAGATCCTCCATAGCACGGCCATTTTTGCTGCCCATGCAGCGAGGAATCCGTGCGAAAATACAGTGGGCGGCCATTTTGTTTACCCTGTGGCCATTTTGAAACCGCCGATCAGCTGTTAAAAAATCATCGCTTTGTGATGATCGGTTCCCAAAGCAGGGAACTGATCATCGGAAAGCGAAAGTCTCCCATAGGGAACATCGTTTTGTGGTCGCAAAAAGTTCATCATGATGCGATTTTGAAAAAGTTCGTCGTGATGCGATTTTATCGTCAAACGGAGCATCCGTCGGGCACCACTGTACTTTTAAAGTTTATTTTATGAATGCACTCCACGCTGAAGAGGCATCGGTATAGGGCCACTTGTAAATATTTTCATAAAGTATTGAATGAAACTCACTGTGAACCTTATTCTTCCTGTCTAACCTTTGTGCTTTCTCTCTGCCCCCCTTCACCTTTTTTTAAAAAATCTTATAGCTCGGGCACTTTCCAGGTAGCCAACGCGGTGATCACATGTGGCCTGGCTCAGGATGTGATGAGGAAACGCCACGCCAGTGAACCCAGCAAACCCAGTGCCGGTCCCACCGCATAAGGATGCTGATGGCCGCTGGCTGGCCCTTCTGAGTTGGAACGCTAGGAGTCAGAGCCCATTTCCCACTCCCTCCCCCATCCCCCCCCCCCATCCCACCGTAGAGTAGTCAGGCTGCTTCGAGTACTACTTAGACCTAGGTTTTTATAAAAATAAAAACGGCAATTAAAAAAAAAACACCACCCTTTTACACCATCCTTTTCTACTTTATTTTGGTCAATGAAACAACATCTCTTTGCCTTGATAAAGCTTATCTCTTTCTCGTTCTTTTTTTTTTGTACTCGTCTAATGGAAACTAATAAAACCTAAGCAGCCTTTTAAATGGCTTGAGTGAAGCTTGACTTTTTTTTAGAATGGCGACAGATTATGAATGAGTTGCATGATAATGGCCCTGGCGGTTCTCAAACATCCAGGTGTTAGCACAGCTGTAACAAAAGGGTGGAGGAGGTCAGGATGGTGTCATTGAGAAGGTCCAAAAATTAAAAACCATTCAGAAATTAGTGTATTGCTAGAAGAACAAAAGGGGAGAGAGTGGAATGTATGTGTGTCTCTGCGTGGGGATTATCAGGAAACTGATTCAAGCCAGCTGCATACAGCTGTCTTCCCTGGGGTTGATCTGGGAGTGACAAAGGAGTCTGTTTTTGGTTTCCAAGCCGTCAAACTCTGCAGGATAGAGATGGTGCAGCCTCCGTTCAAACATTTGCAACCTTATGGTGTTGTTACTCCACACCTCTCTACTACCTTGTGTAGTCTGCTCATTTAAATATGTGGATTTATAGTCTATCCTACTGTGCTTGTATCATTTTCATGTCCTAATTTGCAAAGATGGTTTGCCTTGGCAAAGGGCTAGTCACAGGGCGGCTCTGGCTTTTACATCAGATCCAGCAGGGCCAGTTCTGAGACTCTGTGTTTATCCATCACCTGCTATCTGACCTGTTTTAGGTTGGGTTGGCAAGGTGCAGCTTTCCCAGGTAGTGTTAGATTGTGTGTCTCATGACCTCTAACCAATGTAGTTAATGATGAGAAAGGGAAGTGGTTTCAATCCCACAACATCATAGGAGCTGTGATTTGACCACAATTTTTTTTTTTTAGTGGAGGCATCAAGTACAGAACCTGAGACCTTTCTAAAAGAGTTAAGTTCTATCAGTATTCTCTGGTCCCTTCCAATGAGTTTAGTATTTTCTACATTGGCTTGTGTCCTAAGAAATAGTATTTTGCAAAGTCTCCTTGAGCCAAATTCTGTTATTTGCTTATGGGTTACACAGGCCAGGGTTAGGAAACCAGGGTTACAAAGCAGGCTGAAAAGAGAGAGAATCCAACACCCATGCAGGAAACCACTTCTATCTAGGTGTAAGATAGCTGACAGGTGTTCTAACAGTTGAAGGAGATGCAGACAGAGGAATAAGAGTTGGACCATTCATTCAACTAGCTCAGTGGCATAATTCAGCTTGGAACTATGCATGAAAGATAGCGAGGTGCTAGTTCCCGTCTAGTCAGCACTGGTTAGACCTCATCTAGAGCAGTGGTTCTTAACCTTTTTGAAAGAAACGCCCCCTTGAGCCGTTGAGGAAGTTATCATCTCCCCCCTCCCCGCGGTGATATTTATTTATTTATTTATTTATTTATTTATTTAAGACATTTAAATCCAATGACCTCTGAAAACAAAATTCAATTCCAAGAAAATGAAATGCCCCCCAAAAGTAACATTTAATGATTTAGTTGCAAGCAAATTTTAAGACGCAAAAAGAAATATAAAAAGGGCATAAAAACAAACCGCAATGCAGACCCCGCGAGGTGCTAGGCCCCCTCTAATCAGCACTGGTTAGACCTCATCTAGAGTACTGTGTCCAGTTCTGGACACCAGACTTTAAGAAGGATGCAGAAAAATAAATATTTGAAGGCGAACAACTAGCATGATAATCGGGGGACTAGAAAGCAAACCCTATGAGGAAAGACTTAAACATTTAGCCTTGAGAAAAGAAGACTGAGGGGGAGATAGGATAGCACTTTTCAAATATGTTTTCTCAAGGCTTTCACAGCCGGGATGCAATGCATCCAAAAGACTAGCTAATGATACCCATCAATCACAGTGACATATAATCTCTCCCCCTTTTCACAACAATATACACGACAAAAAAAACACGCTGATCACCATAATCACCCAATCTCCTGAAAAGGACAAGCTGATCCCACAGCTATACTTAACTATCCGACACACTACACTAGAATACAGACAAGAGTTCTGACTCCTGTCCCTCTGAAGATGCCGGCCACAGAGACTGGTGAAACGTTAGGAAGAAAAACCATCAAAACAGCCCGAAAAACTTACAACAACAAACTTTTCAAATACTTGAAAGGTAATCATACAGAGGAGGGGCAGGATCTGTTATTAGTCATCCCAGAGTGCAGGACATGCATTAATAGGGTCAAGCTACAGGAAGACACAAGTCCAGTTGAATACTAGGAACAACTTCCCAACTGTTTTAGCACTACAATTATCTCAGAAAGTGGTGAGCGTGCCAGCACTGGAGGCATTTGAGAGAAAATTGAACGGCCCTCTGTTTGATCTGCTTTCACTTAGATTCCTGCATTGAGGAGGGGGTTGGACTCAATGGCCTTATAGGCCCCTTCCAACGCCATTATTTTATGATTCATCTAGGATAAGTTTTGCTGCTAATCTATCACGCTATCTAAAAGTGGACACTTTGATTTCCATTAAGCCAGTTTAGCAAGCTCATGTTTGAAAATTCCTGTTTCGCCAGAGGACGTTTGGGGGCAATTACATATGTATGGGATAGGAAAGTCCCAAATGTTTGCCCCTCTCGTGTCTTTTGTGGCCCAGGAACACTCAAAAGTGTCAACTTCCTTTATCTTTCACCAAGGAAATCATTGTCCATGGGGATTCATAGAGGCAATGGATTTACAGAGTCCATTGAGACCCTCTGTGCCTCACCCCAAGCCACAAACCTGTGCCATCTTTAAAATCAACCAAAAGCATTTCTACCACAAACAGAAAAATACTGCTGTGAAATCTAGTATCCATCAAAGCTCAATTCTATTTTATTTTATTTTATTTTATTTGTAAAGGAGTTATTCAGTCACTCTTCACACTTTCAAGTTGTGCTAACTTTGGCCACCAAAGCAAACTGTGAAAGAGCAGCAACTAGGAAGAACCTGCCTCCATAAAAGTGGGGCCAGCTGAAGTTGTGCTTTTTTGCAAATCGGGGGTTGCTAAAAGTACAGCAAATTAAGCTCTGCCGGCCTCTGGTATGTACTATGTCTTCAGCTGTTGCAGCAGGCCTCGGTTTGCATTTATATCTATGGCTCCGGCATCTTTTCTCCTGCCAGAGTTTTGAAGAGACGGGCATTGTTCAAGTGCTGTTCTGTAACTCTACCCATCAAAATGCCAGCTTGACTGCCGGCAGAGTTGCCAGCCCAACACTTAGTGCTATATGGCTCCAATGGAAACAAACCCCCCTTTGTTCTGCTATCTCTTATGTGCATCTTTTTAGAACGGGTTTGCATCACTGATTCTATAGCATGCTAAGGGAGAGCAGCTTTGGCATCTCAGGTATGCCAGTTGCTGAAGGACAGATACAATAGCCAGGAAAGTGGGAATGTGAGATAGATAAGACCAGTTAGTTTCCAATATATCTCTATATTTAAGTACTGTGGTGCCTCCGTTCCACTGAAATTGCTGTTTAGCGAAATCATTGTCTAGCGAAAAGCATTTCCCCATTGGAATACATTGAAACCTGTTTAATGTGTTCCAATGGGGAAGAATCGTCGTTGTCTAGCGAAGATTGGCCATAGGAAAACCGCTTTGCGAACTGCCGATCAGCTGTTCAAATCGCTGTCTTGCAAAGCTTAGGTCCCCATAACACCTGTTTTGCAAGCGCGGAGGAAGCTGTCAAAATCATCGTCTAGCGAAAATCGGTTTGTGAAGCAGGGACCAAATATTGTCCAGTGAAATTCCCCCATAGGAATCACTCTTTTGCAAATCGCTATAGCAATCGCAAAAAGTCAATGTCTAGTGAAAAAACTGTCATGCGGAGTAACTGTCTAGCGAGGCACCACTGTATTTGCTTAGTAGCCAGAGACTATTAAGGAGTTACAAATTAGTGCAATCCATTGGCACCTAGTACAGACGCCAGATCATTATTCTAAGGAAAGAAAAATCCCCAAAGAAAACACAGTTGATTCTGCAGCTGTTTTAATGCAGGCAAAAATGGAGAAGAGACTTATCCACCCTCAATTCTGAGCCAATGGATTGTTACTGAAAAACAGAATAAACTTCGGTTCTGACTGTAATTCCAGCCTTGCTTTTGAGTATAATAGCATGGTCGGAGAATCCTTTGGGTCAGGTGCAATTCCTGGAACAATTCTCTGGACGGGGCTCATTATTTTAGGATGGGTAAAATGTAATGAGTGGGTTGCACGTGCACAATCTGAGGCTCCCATTGCTTGGCATTAGATGGGTGGGATATAAATGTAATGGAAAAATAAGTGAATAAATAAATATGTGCATTCTGAAAGCAGTCCCTGACGGTCTCCCAAATTGGGGGGAAATGACTGAAAAAGCCCTCTCTCTGCTTCTTTGGGGGTGCTGAGGGGCAGTCCTCTAAGACTCAGGAGTGGTCTTGTTGACACCTTGGTTGTGCGGAATTGACCCTCCACTCTTCTAGGCTGTATAAAGAAAATCTACTTTACAATAGGACCCCCATATCCAGTGGAGATTGGTTCTAAGTGCCCCGTGGATACTGAAAACCGCGGATAATAGTGATTGTGATGGATGGGTAATGGAAAAGGAAAAAAAATTACATGCATTACTAGAACTGGACACTAGAGAGCATCAGAGACCATGCTAGGTATTCTTCTCTTAACAAGTATTCATAGCAGAGTCTCTGGCTCCTCTATTGGCCAGTTCTGGTAATACATGTGAAAATAGTTTTTTCTGGATTTTATTTCTTATGTTTTTAGTATTTTCAGACTGTGAATAAATGAATCTGGGGATACTGACCCTGTGGATAAGGGGGCTCTCCTGTAATAAGTTAACTTTTTTCCCCTATGTGCCATCCAGTTGCTTCTGGCATAGGGCTGTCCTGTGTGATTCTGTGGTTTCCTTTATTGAGTCAATTCATCTCATGTCAGGAGGGAGTTCCCTCACGCAAACTTCTGCTTGTAAACTGAATCCAGATATGGATTTATATTGCATCCATGGGAAATAAGCCCAAGTTCATGGTATAAATCTGCTGAGGTCAAAGGCCCGCCAGGAACCTTTTTTGGGGAGAAAGCATCCCACATTTCTGGCCTGTACAGAAATGA